GTCTGCTCCATCCACCTTCACATTGGCAGACACAAAGATGAAATCTATTCGTGATTGCCTTCTACCACCCTTATCCGACCACGTGTATCCCGGTCTCACCGGGTGTACCTTTCTGAAGGTGTCAGTCATTTTAAAATCCTCTATCAGCTCCTTCAACTTCCTAGAGGAAGGATCGAGCCTCCTCCTCCCAGCCACCGATAATAGGTCTGCCAGGCACAACGGGCAGTTAAAATCACCCCCCATTATGACTTGCCGTCTCGTCACGAGTAGGGTCGCTACATTATTCCATAGGTCCACTCTTTCTGTGCACGTCGTGGGGGCGTACACATTTATTAGTCTCAGGTCTGCCTCTCCATAAGACACGTCCACATAATGGAGGCGGCCCGGGATCACCTCTTGGGACCCGACTATCTGTATACCCCTCCTGCCTAGGAGGGTGACCACCCCCGTGCATCGATTTTCATTACTCCCGGACCAAAAGTAGTAGCCATCCCAGCTCTCCAACAGCTCCTCCCGGCCCAGGGTGTATGGTAGGTGGCATTCCTGGAGGAAGACCACCTCCCACTTGGTAGCCTGTAGCAGTTGTATTATTGCTCCTCTCCTCCCCTTTCCCTTCAAGCTCCTCACATTTACGGACGCCACGGAAAGTTCCATGTTGGGATGTGTCTCAGTCCGAAGTGGCCTTCTCCGCTCGCCCTCCGTAACCGTCTTCATTCGCCAGTTCCCGCAATTTTATTTTGCCCCTTGTTCTCAAGGGTGTCCCCCTGCGCCGGCTCTCCACCCTTTCCTCCATCCGCTCCCTCGAGGCCTCTGTGTCCAGCGAGGAGTCCGAGGATTCCGTGCTGCCTAAAGGGGCGCCTCTTTTTGGGGCTCTCCGTATCCTCCTTTTCCTTCCGATTGGTCCCTCCCATGTCTCGCTACTGCCTTCCTCCTGCTGTCGTTCCCCTTTTCCTTCCTCCTCCTCCACCGCCTCCGCCCAGTCTTCCACGGTCGTCTCGGAGATGCTGCCCATGCCGTCGCTCCCCTCCCCCGCCAGCCCCTCTTCCTGCTCGCTCGATGTCGATTCTGCTCTTTTTGCATGCCTCTCCCTTTCTCCCCCTCCATCCGTCGCTGGTGGCTGCTGCTCAGCCACCTCCCCACGTCCTTCCCTCACCAGTTCCTTATCCGGGTCCAGTTTGGTTCCACCCCCTTCCTCATCCCTCACTCCTCCTACCCTATACGCCCTAACCTTGTTGGCGTACGACTCCGGACAATTTTTGTACAGATGTTCTCGGCTACCGCAGAGGTTACATTGTGCCGGAACACTGCATTCTTCTACCTCGTGGTCCAGTGCCTTGCATCTATAGCAGACTTTTGTCTTGCACACTGCAGCCAGGTGACCGCTGCCCCCACACCTCCTACACAGTTTAGGTTGTCCGGCATACACAACATATCCCCGGTTGCCTCCTATGTTCAGGGCACTCGGGATGTGTCTCAAGGTCCCTCCCTCTGTTTTCAGCCGCACCCTCCATTGTCTTGCCCCTGTCCATATCCCCACTGAGTCCCTCACCTTTTTACAGCCCGACAGTACCGAGCAGTGCTGTCTTAGCCAGACCTCCACGTCGTGGTCATGTAGGGCTTCATTGTATAGGAAAATAGTCACCACCTTCGTGTCCAGCTCTGATAACAGTTGTAGCTTCATTGCTATCAATGGCTTCTCCTCCGCCTTTTCCTCGAAGCGGGTCATAAATCTTTGTAGCAGGGGGCTTGAGTTGAAGCTTACATCAAACGCCCTCCCTCCCGGCAGAGTTATCAAACAGTACAAGTCTGTCGGCTCTATTTGTAGCAAGCCCATCATTATTGACCGTACAAAGGTCGCTCGGTCGATGGTCACTTCTTCTGCTACCTCGTCCTTCATCATTACTCTGACGCAATTATGTCGTTTGACATGAGGTGGTGTCAGACTCACCCCTGCCCCGCCTCGCCATTTCCCGTCTCGTTCCCGGGGCCTCCCAGCTCCCACCGGTCCAGCGTCCACTGTCGCGTTCTCCCTCCGGGCCTCCCCCTGCCCCAGGGTTGCTGGCGTCTCTCTGGCTTCGTTCCCCACCCTCCGCTCGGGGGCACCCGCATCTCTGCGTCCGGACGCCGTATCTTTTTCTCCTCGGCCTCCCTCACCCACTCCATCAGCTCCCGCCCTCCCATCCAGTTCCTCCATCCTCTCCTTCTGCCGTGCCTCCGCCACGTTCCCCTCCATCCGTCTCCATGCCTCCTCCACGCATCCCCCTGCTGCCAGCGGGTCGGTCTGGTTGCCCCAGTCCCCACCGGGAGCGTAGGTGGTGTCGGTGGCCCTCTGCTTTCGCCGCGTCTTCTTCTTATCTCCTGCAGTCACCGTCTGGCCGACTCTGTCGTCCCAGGCTCCCTCAGCAGTGCAGGTGGCATTCATTTCTCTTGACGCACTCCCTGCTTCCTTTTCATCTGCTGCGAGCATAAGCTGGGCGGCTCGGTCATCCCGGTCTCCTTCAGCAACTCGGGTGGCCCTCGTGGTCCTTGACTCTTGCCGTTTCCCCTCTTCGTCTGTTGCGATTTCCGTCTCCATTCTCCAGCAGTCCCCGCTTCTTGGCAGCGTGGTCATCCCTGTCCACACGGTCAGGGCCCTCGCAGGCCTCGGGGCTGGTGGCTCGGTCTCACTTGAGATCCGGACGGGCTGGAAGGATCACCTCGATGCTCCTGGTGTCTCCCCTGGCAAGCCAGGGTGGTTTCCCCCTCATCGGGCAATTCGCCAGAATGGTGAGGCTCTGCTCTGGTTTCCGGTCTTAAATAGAGCAGCAGCAGGGTGGCTTCATCATTAACTCATCAACTCATCAGGTGCAACGATTTGAGGCGGAGGGGGGGGGGGGGTTATTGTAATTATATACTAGATTAGTAATCATGCAGTTGTTACGATGTGAGTTGTAGATTAGTAATCAGTTGTAATTTGTTTTATTGTAATTATGCTACGTTAGTAATCAGTTAGTGTTTGTTTTCCCTATAAGGAATTGTAATGTATCTTATTTAGTAATACACTTCCAGGCCGCACTAAGCCTTTATTGTTTTAACAATCTGATCGCTTTCAGCAGTGTTGCTTTGCGATCGTGATTTGGCATTTAGTGCTCTGTTAATTTGAGCATTATTGTAGCCATTCTGTCTTAGTGCTTCTTTAACATGATAATTGTTTTTTTACCTTTTATCTGGCAACAAAACTGACACCTTTTTTTACAAGGAGTCATGTTTGCATCGACCACAATACCTGCAGTCATAATGCAAATAAAAAACATAACTCTGATAATGGATGCACTGTCCTTGAAGTTGATTGGTCCACACCCGAGACAGCTTTCCTTAGAGCCTAGTCTCACATGGTGTTGGACCATATGACGCCAAAAGGCGCACCTTTAACATGTTTAATCTCTCTCACTAGACTTTCACCATCTGACACTGTTTATAAATTAAGCGATCTAAACCCACAAACGTTGATTATGAATAATATTAGTCGCGAAAGCCTATGTGTTAAACTCCCTCTTTACCACTTACACCACTCCACATTTGATGTTCTCTCCAAACTCTAGCATTGAAGTCGCCGAGGAGAATCGGCTTGTCAATTTTTTTGGTACTCTGAAGGATTTGGTTGAGTTGGCTGTAGTAAGTCTCCTTGGTGTCTTCTTCAGAGTCCAATGTTGGTGCACATGTGCTGATGATGGTTGCATGTTGGTCTTTTGCGAGTTTCAGGCGTAGGGTCATAAAAGGCTCATTGATAGCAATTGGGAGCTCACTTAAGGTGTTGATGAGCATGTTGTCTATTGAAAACCCTACGCCATGTAGGCGTCATCCATGTGCTGGTTTACCCTTCCAAAAGATGGTGTAGCCTCTACTTAGCTCGGTCAGTTGGCCTTCATCCGCCAGACGGGTTTTGCCTGGGGCGGAAATATAGATATTAAATCATCTCAGTTCATCCGCCACAAGAGCTGGTTCGGCACTCTGGACGTTGCGAGTTTGGGTTGTATGTGAGGGTCTTGACATGCCAGGATCCAATGTTTAGGTGATATTTATTTTTGTTTCGACCGCAATTATTGATGCACCCTCTGGTCGCGGTAAGCCAGACAGGATGTTGCTAGGCAGGTTATGTTTAGGACACATTTTCTAGCCCACTCCCCATTTGGGGTGAGCAGAGTGGATCCTTGTGGGCTGCTCAGTCACAGCTACAGCTGCCGGGATGCACTCCTGTCTAATCAGATGATCTTCTAATAGCTGCCGCCTTGGTGCTGGGTTGTGACCAGGAGCTTCTAGCTGCATAGGCCTGCCCCACTCGCCACTTTCTAATCGCCCAAGGGCTTTGGGTATGTAGTGTGGTTATGCGATGGCACAGTTTCCCTGGGGAGTTTTAGTGCGTGAATAAATGTATCTGCAGTGTCTGTTGCCCACCAGCTACCAGACAGGGCATAACCAGGAACCAAGCCTGGGTCCAATGGCAAGGCAGAAAACCAAGATGATTGGAAGGCTTGTCCTGAAGCAACAGACATCCAGTGGCTCCTCCATATGCCGGTGGCCGTCTGGACTGCAGCTCATCTGCCCCATTGAGGTGGGCCGTTGACCACTTGGTATCCACCCAGGATTTTATCAGGGTTTACTCTTTTAGTCTAAGTGGCAAACCAGAGCCCGTTAGCCAGCGCGTTTCCAGGTGAGCCCAGACAGGCCTTCATGGTTACCAAAGCGGCTCAGGTGATCGAACCACCCACGATACTTCGCCCTATCTGGCAATCCTGTACTTTATCTGTTACCACCTCCATCGACGTGGACGAGGAGTTGGTTTTTGGGAGGCACATACACAAGCACACATACAGAGGCACACACACATACACATGCACACCCCTCCAACCCACCACCGCTAACTTTCCAGAAGTGAAAAATGCGCAAAGCATTGCAGCACGACACACGAGATCACTGTGGTGTATATAGATAGGGTACTTTATTAGATGTGGTACTTCATTACAAGCGATTGATTCAAGCTGAAACAGGACGGCGTTCATCACCGGCACTTTAGCGGACCAACTCAAACCACGAACAGAGCAATTAAAACCCAACTGAACTCACCACGTCGATTCACAGCAACACACACGCACGCACGCACATACACACGCATGTCCCGGCACACACGACCATGACTGTAAATCACCATCAAGGATCAAATCGGGTAGACTGGAAGGCGTTTTGGGAGAGTGAGAATCTCCGGCGTGTGGGAGTGTTTTAAGGGTTGTTTTGGGCGCTATGTCTGACGTTTCGCTGAACGTGCTGGGTGCTTTGTCAGGAACTGAATGTTACGTTTTGGGTTGTCTTTTTTTTCTTTCCGAATTGAATAATATTCGATTCCTGAACATAAGTCAACTACACCCCCCCCCCCACATAAAGGCCACACGGGAGATCCAAAGCACCTACAGGGACGCCGTTAATTTGGGACAGATTTTGACGAAAAAAAGCGCCTTGTTGTAAATTTCCCCAAACTCTCTCAAAACAACCAGCGCGACTGGCCAGCCGGCAGACGGACGGGGAGGGATGGAAGTCGTTGGCAGACAGCGCGCGAATCGGCACCCACTCCACCCCGGGTGCGGTTAGGCACTCAGGGGGCTGTGGAATAAATTGCAGCGGGTTATGTGGATTGCCCCGTGTGGCTGTGAGCGCAGCGCGCCCACGTGGCCACTCGACACCGGCGACACTCAACTCGAGCGGTGGCCCCTCCTTAGTATTTGCCCGCGTAGCCGTAGCCTCCGTAGCTTCCGTAGCCGCCGTAGCCTCCGGCGACGCCGGTGTGGCAGGGAGAGGGGCACCCCTTGAACTTGGTGACCGGGCACGGCTCGCACTTCTTGGGCACGCACGGCGGGCATGGGGTGCAGCACGGCGACTTGGGGCACCGCGGGGCGCACGGCGAGACGCAGCCCTTGGCCGGGTATGCGTAGTGGCCCTGCGCGTGCGTGTACGTGCTCAGGTGGCCGTAGCCCAGAGCCTGGCCATAGCCGCCGTGGCCATAGCCGCCGTGACCGTAGCCTCCATGGCCATAGCCTCCGTGGCCATAGCCGTGGCCGTAGCCGCCGTGACCATATCCCCCGTGGCCATAGCCCCCATGGCCATAGCCCCCGTGGCCGTAGGCCCCGTGGCCGTAGGCCCCGCGGCCGTGGCAGCTGCGGCCGCAGGCCTCGCCAGCGGCCTCCTGGTTCTCGGCGGTCATCTCCATGGTCGTGTCTGGGCAGCTGCGAGCAGTGGAGCGGGTGGTGGGGGGAATACAAGAAAAACATCGAGGGGGTCAATTTCCGAAGGGCTCCTCCCAGCAAAGGATGGAGCGAAAGGGTGCACGCGTAATGTTTGGAACGACTCCCCCTTAGGTCGACTCAGCATTAATGAACAAAGCGAACCGCATGCGCTAGCACCGGTAAAGACAAAATTGGTCATGCGAGGCGCTGGCCGCCACCTTAATTGGTGCTCGCTAACAACGACCGTTGCCGTGTAGGGACAGCTACCACTGGGGGGGGGTGTTGTCACAAGGTAGGGGGGGTCCTGGGGTGAGGGGGGTCCCCGGAAGTGGGGGAAGAAATCCCCTCGGATACATTGCAGCTAGAAGCGCATTGGAAAGACAGTGTTATACATATTGTATCTCAGCATTGCAATGCATGACAGGAGATGTACGGCGAATTGAGTTGCAAGCTCCACTATACCTGGAAATCATCTATATCCGTATTGTCCGTGTCTCTGGGTATTGAGGTGTATATGCTCGTGTGTGTGCCAGTGTACTGTGATTGTAGGTCGTGTGAATGTGCGTGTTATGTGTGTACTGTGACTATGTGCTTGTTTCACTGTGATTATGTGTGTGTGATGCGTGTGTAACTGTGATGATGTGTGTGTAATACCTGTGTAATTGATTACGTGTGTTTGTGATGCGTGTGTAACTGTGACTATGCGTGTACTTACCTGGCCATAGTGAACGGAGTTGGAGCTTGGTGGATGGGCGAGAGGGAGCTGTGACTTTGCTGATGAGCTGACAGATCGCTGTGACTTCTCTCCGCTTCTATGGGCCCCTTTATACCCTGAGACGGCGGGGGGGGGGGGCTGGGGGGGTGCCACGCCCCCCACGCCACCCCTCCCCATCAGCCCACATCCTGAGCTGTGGATTAACCCCGCAAAACTATCGCTACTAACAAGCCAAGAGCCAAGCGTGGTGACCGTTTGGAACCGCGCCCGTAATCTTCCCCAGGGAAATGTGCAACGTCTTCCATCAGCGTTCGCGACGATTCGCCCGCTGATGCTTGATGCAATTACCAGCGAAACGTCGAACTCAATTTGTAAACGTTGTGGATTTACTCTCCAACACACCGGTGGGCTGAAATAGTACACTACACTATACGCTACACTGCACACTACACTATACATTACACTACACTACACACTACACTATATACTACACTATATACTAAACTATTCACTACACTATACATTACACTATACTACACACTATACTATATACTACACTATATACTACACTATACACTACACTATACATTACACAACACCATACTACACACTACACTACACTATATACTACACTATACTTTACACTATATACTACACTATACACTACACTATATACTACACTATACTTTACACTATACACTACACTATACACTACACTATACACTTCACTATACACTACACTACTAACTAATCGGCGCGTTTTGTTTACGGGACAAACCTTACCGGCTGTGTCGGGTGTTGGAGGGTTACGACACATTTATACTTTGCGCGATCTCACCCAAAAACCTTTATCATGAATAATATTGTTCGCGAAATCCCGCTACGTGTTAAACTGACCATTCATGTTATCCTCTATCTGCCCATCTGTATGTGTTCTAGATTTGAAGCTTTCGTGACTGCAAGGATTCATATTCTTAGGTTTTTTCGGTAAAGTCCTACGTGACTTTACCGACAAAAACCTAAGAACATCTGAATGTGGTCTGTAACACACGGGGGAGGGCGCGATAACTCTCGTACAGAGAGAGGTGCCACTCAAGTGCAGAGTTGTTTTTTATTGTCATTTGTTGTTGTTGTTCTCACTCCAGACCGGCACTCGTTGATCGGAGGCGCGCATCAGTTGCGAGATGGAACTTGTCAAATGTTGAAGCCTCCGATGAGCAACGATTGGCTACGTACGGTGCAAAAGAAGTTCAACATAACACGCAGCAGTAGCAGGGTTATCCATAATAGAGGGGAGTTTTGTTGTTGTTGGGTTCGATCGCGTAAACATAAATGTGTGTCGTTAATCCGGCCACCACCCGACACGGCCAATTAGTAAAGGGTTTGTCACGTAAACAGAACGTGGCCAATTCGTTGCTAGTTTAGCACCACCGCGGTTGTGTGTTGGAGAGTAAACCCACAACATCAATAATTTTAAATTTACAATTGTTGATGTTGTGTAGATGTTGTGGGTTCACTCACCAACACGCAGCTGGTGTGGAGCTCAACTAGTAACGAGTTGGCCACGTTTGGTTTATGTGACGAACCTTTGCGATCCATAATACAGGATTTTTTTGGGGTTAGATCGCGTAAATATATAAACGTGTCGTTTACGAATTGGCCGTGTCGGGTGGTGGCGGGTTTAACGACACAACAAATGTATGACGGTCGCTTGTGTTGTGATCGAAACGTCGTGTTTTCTTTTCTTTTCGATTTGAAGCTTTCGTGACTGCAGGGATTCATCTTCTTGGTTCTTTCAGTAAAGTCACGTAGAATGGAAATAATAAAATAATAAAAATAAAACATAATAAAATAATATAATATATGTTTTTGTATTATTATTTTATTATTTCCATTCTACGTGACTTTGCCGAAATAACCAAGAAGATTATTTTCTTTAATTTCTACCTACGTGACTTTACCGACAGAACAAAAGAGTACAACAAATATATTTACGCGATCTAACCCCTCCCACCCCTCACCCCCCCAAAAAACCCCTCCATCGTGGAAAGTTCAACATTCGCACAAATACAATACACTGTCGCCCGGTTTCTGTATCGATAACGAAACACTTCCACGCGCAGTAAAATGCATTCCGTGTCAGGACAAGTGTTACAGAATCACGCCTGCTTCTCCGGTCGTCAGTAAACCACGTGGGATTCTACTTGAACCTCGTGGGTTGTGGCCAGGGCTTCACAGAGGTCATCATTATCATCCCCCGGCAAGCCCGGTTGACTTGTTGCGGAGGCCAGTCGTTGAAGTCCAGCTGTTCAGTGTTGCCGTGCGATTCCACACCGATATCATCACCATCATAAGCAGGAGCAGCAGCCAATTCGTGAACTCTGTAAAACATATTCCAAGTACGCGTATACCGGACTGCGTAGCCAAATACCGGTATCGACCGTGCCGGTCTTCATCGCTGCTCGCTAACAAACGCTTGAGCTTAAAGTCTGTTGAGGCTTTACGGGGTATCTTTGTTGTTGGCTGCCTCCATCTCGATGGCTTCTGTGACGCTTATTATGAGCGGCAATGGTAGTTAGCCCAATGCCATAATTGCACACGCGAAGCCATTATCATAACCACCGTCATCATCATTCAACAGCGTCGTCGAAAGTGGGAGTTTAAACACCGCGATTGAGAAAAATACACAGTTAGCACGTGGGAATTGTTTTTTTTTCAAGTTGAATTAAATCATTAAGTGAGCAGTCTGGGTCAGTGCTGAGAAATAATAAAGCAATGTTCATTGACGAAGGAAAAATAATAATGAAACAATGTTTATTCACAAAAATGTACAACGACCCCCGTATAGCCTGTAACAGACTGTTGGGGCAAGTGCTGTTAGCGAGCTCTTATGAAGGCCGGCACGGCACGCGAGGGGGTGGGGTGGCCAGCACCACGCCCGGCCGCCTTTGTCTCCCCAGTGGCGATGTTTACACGCCGCACCAAGCCACTCACTTGAGGCCGAGTCGACCTAGGGGAGGCCCAGGACCGGTTCAGATAACCGTCACTGGTGGTGTTGGCCGTGAGCGGGAATCGAACTCGGGTCACCGAGTTCATAGTGCAGCGTAGCGCTAACCGCTACACTACCGCTCACACAATATAGAGTACACATATATCGAGGACTCCTCTAATAATGAGCTTTCAGAGATACGAACAAACCTGTCTGTATGTCGAGTTGCCCGTTCGAACCGAGAGTCGTCAGTTCAACCGCAGCACAATCGGCAGCTGTGGATGAATCTACATCTACACAACGTAAAGAACCAGTGGCATCTACATCTACAGAACGTGAAGAACCAGTGGCATCTACATCTGCAGAACATGAAGAACCAGTGGCATCTACATCTGCAGAACGTGAAGAACCAGTGGCATCGACATCTACAGAACGTGATGCACCAGTGGCATCTACATTTTCAGAACGTGAAGAACCAGTGGCATATACATCTGCAGAACGCAAATAACCAGTGGCATCTACATCTACAGAACGTGAAGAACCAGTGGCATCTACATCTACAGAACGTGAAGAACCAGTGGCATCTACATCTACAGAACGTGATGCACCAGTGGCATCTACATCTACAGAACGTAAAGCGCCAGTGGCATCTACATCTGCAGAACAAGTAGAACCAGTTGAATCTACATTTACAGGTTATTATACAACTTTTAAAGTCATTTTTCGTGTTTAGTGTACATGCTGTACAACATGCTTGGAATCGACAGGAATAACGTTGGACTTACGAATAAATCGACTTACAAACAGAACACTGGAACCTTACTCGTTCTTATGTAGAGGAGTCCCTGTATGTATATATAATGGACATGTCCATCAGCATATCAGCCTCTCGGGACCGACGTTTTTCACACCTGGTTTCAACTTTTCTAAGCCTCATCAGCAGTGTGTGAAATAAAACAAATCAATAAACAACAAACGGACTTCGTTTTTAAATCAGAGAAACCCCCCCAGCTAGCCCCGAGGCGTCGTTGCCAGAAGGCTCCTGCCACATTTGGATGTTTGGGCCAATGTCATGGCCGACTTTCGGTAAAGTCCCGTAGAAGGGAAATAATAAAACAAAATAAAAACATAATAAAATAATTCTCACGACGTTTCGGCCACAACGCAAGTAGCCGTCAGGTGAAGACCAGGTCTGTCGGGGAGACAGCGTCTGAATGACGTCTGAATGACGCTGTCTCCCCGACAGACCTGGTCTTCACCTGAGGACGGCTGCTTGCGTTGTGGCCGAAACGTCGTGAGAATTATTTTAATTTGTTTTATTTTTATTATTTTATTACTTCCCTTCTACGTGACTTTACCGAAAGAACCAAGAAGATGAATCCCTGCAGTCACGCAAGCTTTAAATCGAAATTTCTCGTGTTGTAATCGGCACCACGATGTCCGACGTTTTGCTGAATGATCTCGGGGGGAGGGAGGGGGCGGGGCAGCCCAAACAGTGGCATCTACATCTGCAAAACGTGAAGAACCGGTGGCATCTACAGCCCAAACAGACAGCCAACAAACACAATTTACGCGGAAACAGCGAGAGGAAAAGAAATCCAACGTGGTCGAGTGTCACGTGGCTTGCCTGTAATCCAATCGGTGGCGTAACAGCTTCAGCGGACTCAGATCGAGACCCGACTACGATCCGCGTGCACTGCTTGCTGCTCGTTTAACACGTAGACTTTCGCGACCAATATCATCAATCTGGCCGTCGCCTGATGAAGCCGGTTGTAATTACTGGCGAAACGTCGTACTTAGATTGTAAGTCTTGTGGCTTGGCTCTCCAACACACACACACACCGGTGTGCTGGATTAGTGACGAATTGGCCACGTTCTGTTTACGTGACAAACCCTACTAGTTGGCTGTGTCGGGTGGTGGCGGGTTTCACGACACGTGTTTATATATTTACGCGATCTAAGGGGCCGTCCATAAATGACGTCACGCACCTAGGGGGGGGGGGTCAGACATTTGTGACGATGTGTGACGAGGGGGGGGGGGGGGTTTGAGAAATGTGACGTCA